ACACTGCAAAATCGTGCATGGAGGACAGCTCACAGAGTCGTTCGAAATAAAGACCGGTGTCAGGCAAGGTTGCTTACTCTCACCCTTCTTCTTTCTCCTGGTGATCGACTGGACCATGAAGACGTCAACATCTGGGGGGAAGCATGGAATACAGTGGACAGATAGGATGAAGTTGGACGATCTAGAATTCGCAGATGATCTGACCTTTCTATCCCAAACGCAACAACAAATGCAGGAGAAAACGAACAGTGTAGCAGCAGCCTCAGCAGCAATACGTCTCAATATACACAAAGGGAAGAGCAAGGTTCTCCGATACAACACAGCATGCACTAATTCAATCACAATTGACGGAGAAGATTTGGAAGATGTAAAAACCTTTACATATCTTGGCAGCATCATTGATGAACAGGGTGGATCTGATGCAGATGTGAAGGCGCGGATCGGCAAAGCAAGATCAGCATATTTAAAACTGAGGAACATCTGGAACTCAAAGCAACTGTCAACCAACACCAAGGTCAGGATTTTCAATACAAATGTCAAGACAGTTCTACTGTATGGGGCGGAAACCTGGAGAACTACGAAAGCCATCATTCGGAGGATACAGGTGTTCATTAACAGTTGTCTACGCAAAATACTTCACATCCGTTGGCCGGACACTATTAGCAACAACGTACTGTGGGAGAGAACAAAGCAGATCCCAGTGGAGGAGGAAATCAGGAAGAAGCGCTGGAAGTGGATAGGACACACATTGAGGAAAGCGCCCAACTGCGTCACAAGGCAAGCCCTCACATGGAATCCTCAAGGCCAAAGGAAAAGAGGAAGACCAAAGAACACATTACGCCGAGAAATAGAAATAGACATGAAAGAGATGAACAAGAATTGGATGGAATTAGAGAAGGAGGCCCATGACAGAGTGGGTTGTAGAATGCTGGTCGGCGGCCTATGCTCGATTGGGAGTAACAGGCGTAAGGAACTAAGTTTATGTGGGAATATAGTGCCGCCTATGACCAGTTTATTGAAGGCACTTAGGTTTACATATCTCACACCATTTTCGTTCCTTTCTCCCAGTCTTTTTCGTCCCACGATGTCTTCATATCTGGTGTTGTCCATTCCAACCTTGGCATTGAAGTCTCCCATCAGAATGGTCAGGTCGTTTGTTTGGCACTTCTCGACGATTGACTGCAGCCTATTGTAGAATTGATCTTTAGCGTCTTCATTGTAGTCGTTGGTAGGCGCATAGCATTGGATGATATTCATTGAAATGCCCTCCTTTTTTATTTTGAATGAGGCTTTGATGATCCTTGGTCCATGAGATTCTCATCCTATAAGTGCATTTTGCGCTTGTTTGGACAGCATCAACGCAACCCCTTGTGTATGTGGGGCATTTTCTTCTTCATGGCCGGAGTATAACAGAAGCTCTCCTGAAGTTAGTCGTTGTTGTCCAACTTGCGTACAATGTGTTTCAGTGATCCAAAGTATCTCTAGGTTGTATCTTCTCATTTCTGCAGCAATTTGGAGGGCTCTCCCGGTGTCCTACATTGTACGAACATTCCATGTACCTAAATAAATGATCGCTATGGTTGTCAGAGAGGCATCTGCCTCGTAACTTCCGAAGGAATTCGGCTTTCATCATGAGGCATCATAGTTCTTCTAAAAGAAAACCTTCTGACTCCCAGGGCAGATTTTAAAAGGTTTGAATAATTCTTTCTGCTTAACGTTTTTTTAGTGAGTTAGTTTTCTACGGGATGGGGACGCTAACCCCATGCTCAACTCTCGTCCTTTATCCGGGCTTGGGACCGGCAGTAGCCTCTTGAGGGACTGCAGGCGGAGTTCACCAAAATGCTATTTTACCGTATATTTTAAAACTATTTATTCGTCATTATTTTATCATTTTGCATAATGAATCTTTTCATAAACTACATATCTCTAATTGAACGGGGAGTGTTTCAATGTCATTTAATATTTCAAAATAATTGCTTCCATGTTTATCATATTGAAAGTAGATTTCTGATGTCGAAAGTCAATTTTCTTAACGTGTACGCCCTCTGCTCACGTTAAATCATAATCACCATGACCCTGGATGGGGCTGAAATGTATGGACTACGCCAGAGAGATATAAAGTGACCTTTATAAAGTTAAACCGCTCATTATATTCAAAATTCAGTCATAAATTAGTTTGAGGAATCTGGATTTACAGTTATATTTATGCGTCGCAGTTGAGAATTCGAGCCGATCTTATATATGTTGCGAGAATCCTACCTCGCCTTATAAATAGATGAATTACATGCAAAGGCACATGAGTAGCCATTTTAAGTTTATTCAGTTCCTCCGAAAGTTGTAGCTTCATAGTCCGTTAGTTGAGGTTAAAATTAGAATAGTGTATCATTGTTCCATGGTTTGGCTGAGAAAGGAGAGTCAAAGATCTGAAGTGGCATTAAGCCCTAAACACACAATCTTCAAATCTAAACAGCATAAACGTTATTCGACTTTATTATTTAAACCAAAATGATATCAATATCAACATTTATACAATATTAATTGTTTTTATACTCCTATACACAAAATACTTGTGCTACCTATAGGTTAATTTATTATCCAACGGTTATTATTACGAATCTTATTGTGACTTAATAAAAAATCTCTGCACGGAATCATTCTTAATCATTACAATCCCACTCAATTTGGTATCGAACCAACATTACATAGATTATGATGGGAGAGTAATATGATGGCACTGGATACGAACCACACGATTTTTGAAGCCGAGTATATAATAATGTCATTCAAACACCACACATTACCAAGGTTTGACTTGATAATTTCGAATAAAGTGAGCATTTGGTAGATTGTTATAAATAATATTATGTCATAATATTCTTGTTGTTCCGTTTACACTAATTAAACTTGGATTAATTTTGATTTGATTATTTATTTATTTTTCCCTGAAGAAATGGCTTACATTAAGTGATGAAACGTAGGAAAATCTAATTTTTCTACTCATTGGGATATTAAAAATATATTATTTATTTATAGTATTTGAATTGTTTGTCTATTAGGCTTCAGAAATACGTCTTCATTAAAAAAGAAGTTAGATACAAGCTTATGTTGTTTGTGTTTGCAAACAAGAATAATAATAACTTAGCCAATCACTAAAATATCCGTAGATTGTGTTAGCTTATGCCTGTCAGATTCATGTGTTAAATTGATGTAATTAGCAATTTAATTAGTATATTTAATTATGTCAAATAACCTGATCACAAGTTGTTATAATTAATGACATTATTTTATATCTGTATATAAGTAGATTTTGAATGTCAACATTTGCCATAATAAAAAATGTCATCACTATTGTGCTTTCTGGTTTTATTTGTCACTGTTTATGAATGTGAGTTTATAAAGTAATCATTTTTACTATAGAATGGATAACACGACTAGATTTTGTGAGATATTTGACTAATGTAGATCTATTTGTTTAAGCATAATTACGATTTTACAGGTCAACACTAATAATAAGATTTGTCTTGCTCAGTTAAAATCCTACTTTTGAAATAAAAGTATTGAAGAGAAGAAAAATGGTGATATTTGATTGATCAGTTGTTTGAGAGAACCTTTTCCAGCTACAATAGTTTGTTGTTGTATGTTACCTAATACTATGACTAAATTCCATTATTCAGTGGTAGAAACTCAATCACTGCATAATATATGTCGGTTGAAATTTTGGATGTACATAGTCCATGCATTTAATCAACAGCAACCTATCTCTATTTGTGATTTTAGAAGTCCAACAATTGATCAAGAATATTTCACAGAAAATATTCAGGCACATACACCTGTCACGAGGGAACATGCAAAAATCCAATGACTTTATGAACTGAATCTACATCTTTGTTAATACTGTCCTAACCTAACTTAATCCTTCCCTAGTCACCAGTGGACATGAAAACCGTCGATACCGAGTTTGCGTAGCACGTATTTCAGTTATGTCAATTGTGTAATTCGTATAGACTCATCAACATAAAGATGAACTAAGCATTCTTGAAATTTTCATTCGTTTGTTCAAAACCTTGGCAATAATGACCTATTTTATTTTATATTACAGCCAAATGCTTCTGTGGCAAAATAAATTTACATGGTAAACAGATCACTGACAGAGAAATAATCCTTCAATGGACGAATCAGAGATTTTATTCGAAATCTTCGTTTTACATACAGCAGAAAATTAATGAGGACGAAACTTATTATCCTGTGGATGCTAAACAACATACTCTCACTATTAAAACTACTGATACATGCCTCCATTATGAATTCAAATATATGACTCGAGATAGGTACGGCGATCTATTTTTCAGTGATTATAATTTAGATTATAGTAAGTGATGTTTTATCAATCAGAATTTATTATTGGTAACTGTACTGACAATGTATTGATTATTTTGCATTGAATCATTCAATTAAACTAGCGACTTTTAAATCATTATATAAATGACATGCTACATAAGACAGAGACAGAAGGTTATGACTTTCATCTTGAATGATGTTCTAGTACACGATACTTAAAGATTTCGAAGAAAGAAAAAACCTTCAAGTTCTGTTCTCCAGTTGATCTGAAAAATTTATCTATTCATGATATGAAATGTAACCAGTGATAAATACCATGTTCCTTAAAAAATGAAACTCTATGAAACACAGATTAATCTGAGAATAGACCTCACAATTGAATATTACTGAAAGTAATGTTTAGATTTGCTCAAAGGTGACTGTCAGTTGTCATAAGTGGAAGCTTCAATTCCAGAAACTACCATCTTAAGAATGTATAGTGTTACAGTAATATTTTGTTTGTCTCACCCTTTCTTCTCAAAGTACCTCAGATGTTCGAAAATATACGTTATCGTGTAATATCACCAACAAGCATCAAATTAAAATGGGATATGAAAAAAAACAAGTGCAATAAAAAGTTAAACACCATCATATTTCTAACCAGGGAGACTAGGCAATTGGAAATGTTATTGTTGAAAAGAGCAAGTTCCGCTCGATTGGCGATCAACGAGGAAAATAAATACGAATTCATCTTATCAACATATGATCCACAACTACCGGAATCAGATAAACATAAACTAGGATATTTCGGAATACCCACTCTTGTCAAAATCAAATCACCGAGTAAGTTGATTTATGTTTATTTCATCATTCTATTGAAGTGTATATGTTTATTTATTGAGTGATATCTAGTTGAACAGAGAATATGTTATTTTCAACTGTTTGTGATATTCTAAATACGATCAAGTTTTAATGACTTCATAACCATCTATCTGTGTAGCCTAATACTGAACTAATTCATATCTGTCTCACAACGGTTTGAGTTTAGCTGTTCTTGTGAATGACGTTGCGACGTAACTATCAGCAAAGGATCATGAACATGTATGATTTTTGTCTTAGATATGGTCTTCCAGTGTTGATAGTCGGTAATTTGAAATATTTTTGATCGTTTGTTGTACTACTGTAATTCTCCACACTGATAAGACATATCTTAACACTCAAGAAGTTTTGAATTTCAGCAAATGTGTAATTAGACCTGTCCTTCGATATATTCAGAAAGAAAGTTTTACTTCAATTATAAGTGTCCACTTTTAGATATAGCACTAATAAAATCGATAACAAAAACTACTTAAATTCAAATTCATCTTCCTTTTTATGAATCACAACGACTTTCTCTTCATAGAACTGTACACTATATGACATTTGATGTTCACATTCTCCAATCACTTATCGTTCCACAGAACATTCTAGGTTCAAGTAATTTATGGCAAGTAGAATTTTCTTCATGCGTTTGAACAACGTTTTTACAATCTCCATTTACAGTATCGAATAACGTAAAGTGGTCTCAGCCATAACCATAATTTATGTTACACCGTATTTGTGTAATGTACATTTGTAATGTATATTACTTGTTCTGACAGGTATAAGTAATATGTAGCCGCAATCGGAAGTGAAACGTCTGTCAACAGAAGACTGGATTGAGGAGAACAGAAAGGAAACCAGAGGCACCAAGGCACTGTGTAAATTTACGTAGGCACATTTAGTATTATTAGATTAAATAGATATCTACTGCAATTTTGTCAATAAACGAGAGAATTGTGACCTTTATTAAAAACACATACACTACTGCTTGAGAGAAGGAATCTTGTGATGAGGAACTAAAGACACATTTTTTTGGAAATAAGCTAATAATTTCTAAATTCACTGGACAATACGCTAGTTATACTTCGTGATACTTATTTGAAATCGGTGTGATATTTTTCATGCAACGTCTCTTCATTTTCCGTATGATGCTACTTGTACTTTACTTGATCATCTTAATTTTATTTGTATTCGTATCTAAATCAACTCTTTTAACGTTTTACTTAAAGCCAAACAGATATTTTACGATGTAGAATTCGCGAAGAAAGGATCAAAACAGATTATGATAAAATGGAAAACTCGCAAAATAACTGACAAGACAACATATAGTATCATAATATTTCATGGTTTGGTCGATCAACCACTGAAAACAGAAACTCATTCAAAATCTCCCAAACGTTTTATAATAATACCTGTTCAATTGAAACAAAAACACAGAGTGATTGTTGCTCAATATTGTGATGGTAAACTGGATTGGCCAATCGTTATCGATTTTTGGATTCCATGTAAATTTCCACTTTCATTTGTAAAGATTCTCATGAATTTTATGGTGTGACTTTCATCTACATATTATTACTTTTGAAGTATTTTCTAGATGTACATGTGGAGAATGGTGAAGTAATGAAGTCAGACACCGTGACCTTCAGACCAATGAAGTGTCTTCACAACACCAGCGGATTATTAAGATTTGATAATGATAAGTCTTGCAGATTGAACGCTATACCCGTTGCCCAAGCTATTCTGTAACCCTCAAGCTAGAACTATACAGTGACCTGAACAACAAGAGAGAAGACGCGAAGTATGCGAAAAGTACTTTACTCCAACGTTCATTTCAATACAGAAAATACAGGGTTTTTATAATATTTTCAATGTCCTTCGTTGCTCTAAGATTCTGGAATGCTACTAAACATAGTAGCAGTGTAGTAATCAGCCAATCAGAGCCTCTGCATGTGACGTTTCGCCCCCTTGATATTTTTGGCTAAAACTTCAAGTGAACGCTGATTGAAGGAAACACTTTATAGTTTTTCCTGATCCTTGCTTGTCTTTTGCGAGAAATTTGCCGGATCACCCCATCAGATAATAAAAATACCTCCACAATAATCTGTGGGATTATCCCTCTTACCATTCATTGAATGGTTTAAATTTTTAAAGATCATATATAACACGCGTTTATTTTTGAAACACTGAGCGATAATGATTTTCTGTTTAAAGTTTGAAAATTTTATCAAGTAGAAGCCTTAAATCTGCTCCAAAGGGTGTTAAAGTTAGTCAACATGTAGTGTGAATGTTGTTATCTATTGTCATGGACGTTATAAGGGACTGTTTCAAATTCAACGGAAATTCCACAGAACGGTTTAAAGCAGGAACTGCAAAACAGTACAATACACTGCAATGTTAATTAACTTATTCATTTTCCAAATCAATCAAATAATGCTAACAGCATGAACTGACTAACTATCATAGCTCCTATTGGAATTTAAAACGTACTACGGAATACTTATCTTCAGTCAATAAAAAACTGATACATTTTAAACTTGTAGGTCAAACAGTAGTCAGTTAATATCCACATTCACTGAAAATCCTATTTCCTGACTCCGTAGTCATGATGTCTTCTTCAACAGATAAGACATGAATTGGTCATAAAATTTATGAAATTGAACTTAAAATAGTATGCATCGATCGAATTGAATAGCCACCAGCCTAAGCGGTAAAGACTGTTCTATGATAAAGATTATAACAGTGAAACGCAGATCTGTAAACACCGTTAGAAGTGATGATTCCGTGTTCGACAACCTATTTACTTGAAAGTGCAAGTAACGCACAATGTCGAAAGTTTGGATTGACCAAATGCTTAACGGTTATTGCTTGCGCATTGTTCTTCGAACGATGATAGACAGTGATGAAACTTCTTTCTCTCTCTCATAGACGTCAACTCACTTTCCCAAACATATTTTTACACGTTTTAGGTAACAGATGCCCAATTCATACTAAACACCTCATTAAAATCAGACGTCGTAGGTGGAGATCAGAACATGAAAATAATCAAATACAACTACATCTTAAATGAATCATTTGCACTTGTCGGAATTTTTGCACAATGAGTGTTTGCTCATTATTCAATGATTCGATTCGAAAACAGTTGAAGTATCACAAGCTTATATTATTTTTGTTAATCCATCTTGTAAAGTTATAATAAATAAATGTGGGTTTGTGAAATATTTGCATTTTAAAGATTCATAATTAATCATTAAACTTGTTAGTTTTATTCAACTTGTTCCTAATTAGTTGAAAAAACCACATAACAGACTAAATCAAGTTTATGCAATTAAAAGAAAATTTCTAAGATGAATAATCACTAAGGCGTTGTTAAGTAATATCTTCTCATTCGGCTCTATAAGTCTCTTCATTCTACGTGTAAACGATATAAATTTATTTTAAGGTCATTAATAAAATAATTAATCCAAAATTTTTGTCACTTAAACTCTCTTCTTTAATTAAAATTAAAATACCAAGAAAAAAATATTCATAATGTTGTTTTATTTCATTAACTAATATAATTATATTATTACCAACAAATAATTGATGTTTAAAAAAATTTGAACTGTTTAAACGCAAAGTTCAAGCTTGAGTTCGTGGATTGCCAATGCCTCACCAGTGCATTAAATATTGATTCGACACCATTTTGATCCAATCCATTTGACTCTGTAGATCATTTTAAAAAAGGTATTCTTTGGAGCGATGTTTCCACAGTTGATTAAATGCTCCTGTATTGAACTAGTAATTGTTTTACATTCACCTTTTAAAAGCCAAGCCGGATAGTGTTCTGAGATGCGTATGGAAAGTGATCGTTTTGTGCGCCCTATGTAATTTGCGCCACATGAGCAAGTAAATTTATAGATTGACAGATAATTCCCATTTAAACATTAAAATTAAAACAACGAATTTCAGCGAAGGGATCTCTTTTCAACGAATTTATTATCAAGCTGTACAATCGTATATATATGAAAATTTTGCTTTTGTAAATGTACTAATTCCGTGAGGAAATGTGAACACAGTTAATAAAAAGGTTATAGGTTGAAAAGAGATCCCTTCGCTGAAATTCGTTGTTTTAATTTTAATGTTTAAATGGGAATTATCTGTCAATTAAAGAAATGCAAGGACCTTATGACGATGAAAGGGCTCAATGGGTTCTTACGTTACACCGTCAAGCTTGCGTTAGTGAAATGTGAGATCAATTTTCTCGAAAGTTGTATCGAAAATAATGATTATCCTAAACGTTTCTGGAAGGCACTAAGACGAAACCATATTCATCCCAATGCAAAAACACTCAAACGTCATGCATTCAATTATATCGATGCTATCAAATCTCGAAAAGTCGAACTAGATCGCAACATATCTCTAAGAAGTCACGCCTTGTTTGAATTGTCGTTAGATGAACGTAAACAATTTGAGGACTATGTTACTAATGTTACGGAAAAACAGTCACAAAAGCTAAACGTAAACACTTGGAAACATTGCAACACGTAGACGTGATTAAGAAGTTTCCGGAACATCCAGAAAAATATGTATTTAATCACTCTTCTACTAAACTTTCACCAGTTCAAATACAGGCCTTATCATTGGGTCCGAAGTTCTGTAACAGCACCTCCAAAACTAGTAGACTTCATACACAAATACAATTCGAAAACCTATCAAATCAAACTCATGATCTTGTGCCAACATCCCCAGAAAATTTTCAGCACTTTAAATCCACATTAGTGGACTGCAGTCATGGATACGTTAATGCACAATGTACTAAGAATAACCTATTAACTAAGAACCACTTGGATCAGCTAATACTCCTGAAAAGAAATAAGGATTTAATCCTAAGTAAACCTGACAAAGGAGCTGGTGTAGTACTACTTGACCGCCAAGAATATTTGGATAAAATGAAATTAATTCTAGAGGATGGTACTAAATTCTCCAAACTTAAAGAAGTTGATAAAACATTGCAAATCGAAAAACAACTAACAGATGTTGTTAAAATCCTTAAGAATAAGGGGTTAATAACCCAAGATTTATATAATCACATACGTCCCATGGGTTCAATCATCCCGCGCTTATATGGACTACCGAAAGTACATAAGCCGGGTTTACCGTTACGACCTATTTTGGATATGTTGGATTCACCATACCACAGAATCGCCAAATGGCTAGCGGAAATATTGGAACCGGTTAGAAGGCAAGTATCTAAATTTTCTATTCATGATACTTTTCAATTTATTGATCGTATTAAGGACGTTAATACTTCCGGAAAACACATGTTATCGCTTGACGTTAATTCTTTATTCACTAGCGTACCTTTAACCGAAACGATATGTTATATATGTGAGTATATTGATTCCGACAACATATATCTAGGTTTGCCGATTGAACACTTGAAAGAACTATTGTTACGCTGTACCTTTAATGTCCAGTTTAGTTTCAATAATGAAATATATAGACAGAGGGATGGGATCGCAATGGGGTCTCCATTGGGTCCGATTTTAGCAGATTGCTTCATGGCAAAACTAGAAAACGACCAACTAAGCTCAATGATCAGTCAATTTCATCTTTACGTTAGATATATGGACGACACGTTCATCGTTTGTGACAATAATATTGATTTAGAGGATATATTATAAACACCTTTAACTCATGCCACCCTTCTATAGACTTCACGTTAGAAAGAGAACGGGACCAATCAATTCCTTTTCTCGATGTACGTTTGATGAGAAGGAGTAATGGTTCTTTAAAACGATCAATCTTCAGAAAACAAACATGGAATGGACAGCTAACTAACTTCTATAGCTGGGTTCCGTTAAGTAGAAAGAGAAATCTCATCCACTCTTTATGTTATAGAATACGTCAGATATGCAGTAAAGAATGCATTAACGAAGAACTGGAATTCCTCAAGAAAACCCTAACGGAAAATGGCTACCCAGAACGGTTCATAGAAAAGAATATGAATGGAGGTAGTTGTGACAAGAAACCTAGTTGCTCCGTTACGAAGAAAAACCTTTATATAAGTCTGGAATTTAAAGGTGATCGAACATCAGAAGTAATCAAAAATCGTCTAACAACAACTATTAGACGAACATTTAATGCAGCTAAATTGCGAATAAACTTCACGAGTAGGAACTTATTTTCCGTGTCCATAAAAGACAAGCTTCCGCGTCTGGTCGCCTCTATGTGCATCTACCAGTTCACCTGCTCTTGTGGAGCAAGGTACATTGGCCGTAGCCAGCGCTCGCTTTCAACTCGGATACGGGAACATATTCCGGCTTGGTTCTATAAGGGGGAAAGGAAAGCAGTTAGGAGTTCTATACTTGAACACCTAATCGACTGTAACCATTCCACTGATCCAAGAAATGAATTTAAGATTGTTTATATGATTCGTTCAAATCTACCTAGATTTATTCGCATCCAATTTTTAAAAATAGCCGAAGCTCTTACCATCCAGGAGCTTAAACCAGAACTATGCGTACAAAAGAAGTACGTCTTATCGTTATCGTTACCTTGGCCTTAAGTATTTTG